GTCTCGGACTGAGGATGTTCCTCAACTGTCGGCTGTCGAAAATGATATCTTGCTAGCCCCATTTACGGAGAAGGAAGTGTTTGATGCGATTGCACAAATGGAAAACAACAAGGCTCCCGGTCCGGATGGGTTTCCGGCGGAGTTTTATAAAAGGTGTTGGCAGATTATTAAGGGGGATATGTTACCTATGTTTCATGATCTTTTCTCTGGACAGCTTCAATTATTTCAGTTGAATTTTGGAACTATCACATTGCTTCCTAAGAAAACGGAGGCTGTGCGAATTGAGCAATTCAGGCCAATTTGCCTTCTCAATGTTAGTTTCAAAATCTTCACCAAGGTCGGGACAAACAGGCTCTCACCGATTGCGCTTTCTGTGGTACAGCAATCCCAAACTGCTTTCATGCCGGACAGAAACATCCTCGAAGGAGTAGTTGTCCTTCATGAAACGCTCCATGAAATTCACTCTAAAAAATTAGATGGGGTAATTTTTAAGGTGGATTTTGAGAAGGCGTATGATAAGGTCAAGTGGCCGTTCCTTCAACAGGCATTGCGTATGAAAGGTTTTGGTGAGGCTTGGCGCCATCAGGTTGAATCTTTTACGCAAAAAGGGAGTGTGGGTATTAAAGTCAATGACGATATCGGTCATTACTTCCAGACTCATAAGGGCCTCAGGCAAGGCGACCCAATGTCCCCCCTTTTGTTTAACATCGTGGTGGATATGTTAGCAATATTGATCGGAAGGGCTAAAGACCATGGTCAAGTGGGTGGTTTAGTACCTCATCTGGTGGATGGAGGTGTATCCATTCTTCAATACGCTGATGATACAATCATCTTCATGGAGCATGATTTGGCCAAGGCGAGAAATATGAAGTTGTTGTTATGCCTCTTTGAACAATTATCGGGGTTAAAGATTAATTTTCATAAGAGCGAATTGTTCTGCTTTGGTAGGGCTAAAGACGAACAGGACTCTTGTAGGCAACTGTTTGGGTGCGAGTTGGGAAGTCTGCCCTTTTCCTACCTTGGCATTCCGATTCATCATCGTAGGCTAACAAACAGAGAGTGGAAGTGTCTCGAGGATCGATTTGAAAAGAAACTGAGCTGCTGGAAGGGTAAGCTCATGTCATATGGAGGCCGGTTAGTTTTGATAAACTCGGTACTCACGAGTATGCCTATGTTCCTCTTATCGTTCTTTGAGGTTCCAATGGGAGTGAGGAAAATACTGGACTTCTATCAATCACGCTTCTTTTGGCAGGGTGATGAGCTTAAAAGAAAATACCGGCTTGCTAAGTGGGATATCATCTGTCGACCCAAAGACCAAGGCGGGCTTGGCATTGAGACTCTTGAGGTTAAGAACAGATGCCTTCTTAGTAAGTGGTTGTGGAAGCTCGCTAGCGGTTCGGAAGCTATGTGGACGCAAATCATTCGCAGCAAGTATCTCCAGACTAGGACTTTGTCCCAAGTAACAATTAGGCCGATGGATTCGCCTTTCTGGAAAGGGCTCATGAAAGTCAAGCAATTAATGTTCAATAGGACAAAAGTTGTCATTGGCTGGGAGGACGCTTGGCTGGGCGACTCACCCCTGGCCATTCAGTATCCGTCTTTATATCGTATTGCTCAACGACGTGAGGTGCTAGTGGCAACGGTATTTCAATCTATCCCCCTTAATATTCAGTTTAGACGGTCATTAGCAGGCAATCGTTGGGAGGTTTGGCTCCAGTTAGTTAGGAGACTAATGGAGGTTCAACTTTCTGACCAACCGGATAAATTACGCTGGAAGTTGACTACGTCTGGGGTATTTACAGTCAGGTCAATGTATACTGATGTTATTAATACAAGCTCCATTCCAACTTCCAAGAGTGTCTGGGATGTCAAAGTACCTTTGAAAATAAAAGTGTTTATGTGGTTTGTTCATAAACAAGTTATTCTAACAAAGGACAACTTAATAAAGCGTAATTGGACAGGACCTACTAGGTGTAGTTTCTGTGATCGAGATGAGACAATTAAACATCTCTTTTTTGATTGCCCGCTGGCCAAGGTTCTTTGGCAGACGGTCCACATTGCTTTTAATATAACTCCACCGAATACTGTTAATGCTTTATTTGGGAATTGGCTATATGGGTTTGACTCTACAATAGCAAGACATATTCGGGTTGGAGTCTGCGCTTTAATATGGACCATCTGTCTGTGCAGAAATGATTTGGTTTTTAACAGATCATCACGAATTCATTTTTTGCAGGTTATCTTCCGAGCTACGGCGCTGATCCGTTCATGGTCATTACTCACTCCGATGGAGGCCAGGGAGCATTTGGTTACTGGGTCTACCCGGTGGGAGATGGTTGCTCGGGATATCTTCAACCGGTTTGGATGGCGGTCATGTAATAGGATAGGCAATTAGTTTCCCTATCTTTATAGCCAGCCGGTTGTGACTCCTTTATTGGCTAGTTAGTGTTTCTAGCCTTCTGCGCTCTGTGTGGGCTGCTTTTTATTGTTTTCAGTTAGAGACTATGGAACTTTGTACGCACTTTTTGTTGCTTCATTAATAAGATGGCTGTATGCATCACTCCTGATGCAGAGGCCGGGGAGTCCCCCTTTTCCAAAAAAAAATGAACGCACACACGCACACTCTACCCATATGAGCACCTCCGAGAGACTGAGTCAACATATCATCTTGAGTCAACGAAAACGTCTCCTCCCACTAATAGCGCATCGCCGGAAATCCTGAAATTAATTCAAAAATAATGCGAGTACCAGTACTAGTTGTGTGGAAGAATATAATGGAAAAGGTTACACTGGTTGAATGTTCAAGTAAAAATTCAAAAACGTCATCCTTTTAATACTCGAACAAAGTACAGTTCTGTACGAGTTATGTTTAGAAGATTCGGTGGTATACATACTGTCATGTTTGGTTTGCATGAGTGTTTTATCGATTTATCGGAATGATATGGTACGTCTTAGTCCTATATATAATCTTATCTATTAGGATAGTTAATTGGCTCAGTGATGTACACTTGATAACCGAATATAAGTACGTACTCATAGTAGCTAGCTAGCAATGATTCGGTCGTACCACATGCTCGCTTACAGGCCACCATGCATGGTTCTTCTCCGATGGACAGAAGTTCAAATATGACTTGGTGTCTCACACTCAAATTAGTTTCTGAAACGCATTATCCATGGAAAGATTCTCTAGCACAAATGACTAGCACAACAGCTGATAGGTATGAGCAAATAAGTACTCTCTCCGTTCCAAAATAAATGGCCCAACTTTGCACTAACTGGTCATTTATTTTGGAACGGAGGGAGTACATTATAGTAACATAAACTCACATTTAGTTCAAGTTGTGCAATGCGAAAAGGACACAACACTATTTAGCAGAATAGTTGGTGTATACTTTGTTCTAATGTGCCATGTTGCGAGAAAAAAAAAACATCACATAGAAATAAAAAAATGTAAATCTCGTGAAACAGGGATGGAACTCGCGACTCCGTGTCATTAGCATGCGCTTCCTTTGAACCAGGCCACTAAGCAAGTTCTACACACGTGTGCATACATTTTCTCTTTGACCTTGTTCACTTATTTAAATTCAAAACAATTTGATTTTTTCAGACGGTATTTCATTGTTTCGCGAATTTCCAAAAATCTCGTTTGAAAAAAAAAAAAACCTGCGACAGTACATCAGCCACCCACGACGTGCTGCTGCGATGGAACTAGCTAGGCCCCCGCCTATATAAGCATGAGGTCCGGTGCATGTATTCCAGACAAGGATACAACCTGAGCTAATCAAGATGGCTTCCTCCACGCCTTACCTTGTCCTACTCTTGTGCCTCA